ACACTTCTAATCCTTTCCTCGCAATAAATATCCATTCCTAACCCTGTTGCTTTGACAGAGGATTTCCCTGTGATCGGAATCTGACCTGTCCTTCTACCTACGGTTCTCAAATCTTCCTTTGCTCTCCCTGAATTTAACTGGGGAGGGAGCGTTACTATTTTTTTTTTTTTTGCATGAGTTCTAATAATCAGTCACAAGTTTACCTTAGCATGTTAATATAGCCAATGGAGTGTCCAAACCATAGTTCAAAGCTTTCCTTTGCCAATCCAACCTCTTGGGGTTTTATTTCGGAAACCTTTCTGCAAAGTGAGCACTGTACTTAGTCAAAATGTGAACCATGAAGACAAGGGGAGCATTTCTTCCCAGAACATTAAATAGCTTACTGTTGAATAAATCAGCTTCCCTGAGCCTGGGATGACCCCAATCCCTCTCAACACTAGCCAAGCAGACATTAGAACCACTGGCTGGCTGCTCTATAGTCACCACAGCCCTCTCAGTAAGTCCAAATTCCTCTTCACTCTCCCATCCCTCAAGTGCGCATATCTTGCTGACATGGGAAGGGGTATTTCGTTTCATACACCTAGTTGGGTCTACGTCACCTTCCTCCCCAAAATATAAGGTAGGTTTGGATTTCAGCTTGTTATCTCTGCTGACTGGGTTTACCGGCTCAGAGAGATGGGAGTTGTAATCCAAAATTTGCAAATGGGATAGGGATCTAAATATAAAGATTGAGAGGCTTGGATATATCAGAGTGACCTGCGTCCATATTAAAATGGTGCAGAAAGGGAAGTTCTATAAACATCCTATATTAGTCATATGGTTTCTCTTTCTTTTTACAGTCTTACAGCGGGAGTCACTCCGTAATCTTGCCCAGTGGCTGGAGTCCCAAGAGGAGACCATCCGGCAAATGAGAGCTGTGAGCTTACAGCTTTGGAGACAGCTAAATGCTAGTGAGATTGAAGTCCAGACCTGACCTGAGCCAGAGAATCCCATCCTCTCTTTTGGAGAGGCTCAGCTCCAGGGCTGTGGAAGCCAACTCATTGCTTCACCAGTTCTAAGGAAATAGAGCACAATGGCTTGGTTTCTCTGATCTCTAAACCCAAAAGGAGTCCTAGAGAAGCACTGAAGGGTCTTCCAGCTGTTGCAATCTGTAGGACAAACACAGATCGTCCAGGGAGGAAACTGAGGCAGATACCTGACGAAGAATCCTATTAAGCCGGCTTCCAGCAGCATCACACATGCTTTGTTTCCCATTGATTGTAGTATTTTAAGAGCTACTATGAGCACCTTTTTCAAAATGCACTGCTCAATTTGATGTTTTTTTTTAAAAGTTGCACATGGGAGTGTGTTTCAAGAATTATAATAAAAATACCCTAAGCTTCTTTGATCTTCAGGTTTTGCTGAAAAGGAGGTTCCATCTATAGAAAAGACACCATCAGTATGTAAAGAACAAGATTTGTGGCATAGAATCCAGTTATTATCCTGGGTTAATAAAAGAAAAAGAGCATTTGCTATCAGTCTTGAAAACTTTCTTCAGAAAATTTCCTGTTCTTTGTTAAGTGTAATAGAAATTAGACACGCAAGCAAAGCTATTTCCTAATTTATGCCTGGTTCTCCACAAAAACTGGATAGGGATAATCCTGTAGCCCAAACCAAGAATATGAATGTGTAATTATAAATTTCCTGCTACCAGACTTAAAACCACTTGTTTTTTTTAATAGGAGAATGCCCAATAGTAAAATGCCTGTGGTCACCCTTTCGTTAAAGAATGCTAACTTTTGTTTGGAAGCAGAGAAGATAGTGAGAGGCAAGCTATTCCTTTTCTGAAATTAGTCTAGGTTGATCCACACAGCAACATCTTCACTTTCCTGCTGTCCTTGAAGCTGAAAGAAGGGATGGCAATGCAAAAATCACACCCCTCCACTGCTTACCTTCAGCAATGTTGGCCAGAGTTTAATGTGGATTCCAGGATAATGATTGGAAGATTCCTTTTTTCCCTCCCTCAATTGCTCACCTGAGCATGCCAACAGACAATGTAATTGGATACTAGATGTGGGAGGACCAGAGAAGTTGATGGAGTAACGCTACATATCTTAAGAGCATTTTTTTCTGCGCACACACCATTCCTTCAAAGTCCTTCTGCTGTGCTCCTGAAGGATGAAAGCACGCATGGAATAGTAACATTGACCAAGCTGGCTAGGGATGAAATGCGGATCAAATTCTTTCACCAGCAAAACTGCAACCATTCCATGGGTAGGGCTGACCTCTTTCACAATCTCTTTTCTTCACAGTCACACACCTACCCAAGCTGCCAGTGGTGGCATTAATGAGGAGGTTCCCAATTGCTGCGGGCTTCCATCTGATGGCTGCTGGTGGGGATGGCTTCTCAGCCAAACTCTCTGTGGCTACAGCACCCATGGTATTGTAGTTGTGCTTTTTTCAACCTGTACCTCTGAAGAGAGAATGTAAAGGTGTGAAGAGCTGGAAGTGGCAGTGGAGGCAAAGCCTGGCCTCCCTGACTTGTAGTTCTTGTGCCGTGGGTGAGGGACAGAGGGCTCATCAGAAATGCTGCTTGTTGCTCTCACAGACAGTACCACACTGTAATAGGTACAGCCTCTACGGCATACCTTTGTCTTCTGCTGCAGGACCCAAAAGAGAGATAAGCCTTCCAGGCATTCTTCCCCACTGGGCAAGTGGTTGTGCTTTCTGCTTGTCAGTAAGTGTTCCCATTGGTAAGCAGGTTTTTTTTTTTTTGCTTTGTTCAATATTCTTCTGCTCAAATTAAGAAAAAAAAAGCACAAAAGAGATGTCCAGTCTCTCGATAAACAAAAGATCACAGAGACACAATGACCAGCAGTTATACAAGCAGTCTTGCAATGGGTCAATCAGTGACCATTGGATCTCTAGTTTGTTGACTCTTTCCCCATGTGACCTAGAATGGCTCCATGGCAGATCTCCTTGGAAAATATCCCCTTTCTTTGGGAACACCTTGGACTGATTTCAACCTGCTTCAGTGGTAGTCTGGCAAGAAGACGGAGACTCCACAGTGGAGTCATGTTCTCAGCAAATGACAATTTAGGTGACTTCAAGTTAGGATAAGGAGATTGTGTGGAAGTTCTCTATTTCTGTAACCACCATTCAAAATGCATTGTGACATAAGAATATGCAGACAACTGGTTAGAACAAGCGAGCAACTGCACAGCCAGCAATGACCTGCATTTGAAAGAGGATACTTTCTACTCTTGTTGAATATGAACCTCCAGCTGTAAAAGCCATAGTGGATGAGGTCCAGTTAAGGAGGGGACTTGCTAACACTTGGATGACCTTGGCAGAACTTGAAAGGCTACATCTTGGTAGTTTGGATGGGATGCCATCAGGAAATCCCAGGGCTGTACATGGGACAGGAAAAAAGCAAGTCACGGAAGGCTATCATAAAGCATTTGCATGTTGCTGGAAAAATTCCATGGGGATAACTGTGAAATTATCAAGAGCTGGCCTTGGCTCAGGGGAGGCTTTGCTTTAAGGTTTTTTTTTTTCTTTTGAGCCTATCCAGGACTAAACTGTTAATTTTGCTTCAAAATCAATCTCTCTCTCTCAGTCCAAACCACCTCACAGGGTCATTGCTGTGGGGAAAATCAGAAGGAGTATTAGGTATGTTTGCCACCTTGAGTTACTTATAATAAGGGAGGAAAAATATCTAATAAATAAATAAATAAAATAAAAGTTGATATTTATCAAGGATACATTAAGAATAAACAGGCATTTTTCTGACAGCCATCTTCCTGAAAAATACAACTTATTCCTATAGCTAATTGCTCCTCATAGTCTCAAGTCCAGCAGATCAACACAGATTTCTCTTCTGAGAAAAACAGGCAAGCGAAGCAGTATTTTAGACAAAAATCCAAATAGATTTTCTGAAAAAAAGCTTATTAACTTTGTTTTCTTAAATAAGCGCTATGTTTCTGTTCCTTTCAATGAGGTTTTCTGAGAAGCATGGAGGTTTAGCACACTATATATATATGCATGCTCTGTGCAAACTCAGTGCTTCCTAAAAAGATATGTTTCTCTCTACTAATTCAAATTGTGCAGTGCTTCTAAAAAAAAAAGATACATCTTAGTGCGACTCTACTAAGTCAGCTTTGCCTTAGACACAATGATTTCAACCGCGATAGGCTACCAAACTGGAAATGATCTAGGATAAAGAACTGGGTGCCTGGGGATTTAAAGTGTGCCTCAGGCATCCCCTTCAGCACTCATAAAACTTCCTGTTCCAGTTTATGTTATTTAAATGCATGTTTTAAAGATTAAATAGAAAGTGGGATGCCGTTGAACAAAGTTCTAGCACCATATTTATTTATAGGAAAACTTGTGAACTACACAATGACCCAGTGGGGTGTCAGAGAAAACAGGTTGGGGAGGACAGAAGGTTTACTTTTGAGGAAATAAGTTTTGGGTGACTGATCATGTTAACCAATGCAGCCATTTTGTAAACAGACTAATGTCCTAGGGCACAGGTGTCAAACTCGCCGCGTCATGAGACGTGTTGCGATATATCATGACTTTTTTTGTATTGCCAGAGTTGGGGTGGGTGCGGCCTCCATATGATGCAACTGGCCCGCGGGCTGGCAGTTTGACACCCCCGTCCTAGGGTCACCGTTTTTTTTCAGTATGTACTTCAGACACTCAAAATTACAAATGTGCCCTTGACTCAAAAAGGTTGCCTAGCCTCATATTTGAACATTGTGTTCAATGGCAAAAATCAAAGTGACAAGTTCAGGGGTAGTCAACCTTGGCTCTTTTATGACTTGTGGACTTCAACTCCCAGAATTCCTAAGCCAGCAGGCTGGCTCAGGAATTCTGGGAATTGAAGTCCACGAGTCTTAAAAGAGCCAAGGTTGACTACCCCTGAATAGTCACAAGGTGAAGCACCACTGCCACAGCATTATGGATTGTTTTCCACCCCCACTCCAAAATGAATAATAAAGACAAAGCTAAATCAATTATGGTGTCAAAGGCCTATTTTTTTTTTACCAGACCACAAACCACAGAACTTCCTCACAACAGGGTCGATTCGTCCTATGTGGAGAAAAGAGGAATGCTCAGGCCTACCAAAAACCCCAAACACAAGGAAAAGACTCTTTTCAGCCTGAAGCCCAGCTTTGTTTGACTTCTCCTTTTGTCATCGAAATAGAGCAGTTCCCCATTAAAAATAAATAAATAAGTGAGGAACAAAGCTGACTCCCAAAGAGCAGGAAGAAAATGACAAGTGGTGATAAATAGGATATAAGAATTTGGCCAACAATGTTAACCAACTGTGTCAATAGAGAAGAGGTATAACTTCTTCATGTGCTATCAAGCCTAACTTTTAATCATCTACACTGATCTCTAAAGTACATTTCATCCTTCTCACAGCAAAATACCTTCAACACCAGAGGGGAAAATCCCAAGGCACCCAACCTCAAACCAATCCTTCTGCAGCCTCCATTTTGGAAGCTGCTGTTGATAACCTTATCATAAAACTACCTTCTGCACCAAAGTCCTCACTGGGAAAATTCACAACTGCAGGAGGCAAAGGGAGAAGATTCAGTCTTTGATTAATACATTCAGTAATGGAGATAGGGGGAAAGGGGGTTAAAAAATTACTGGCTTAAAAAAAGCAGCAGGGGTGAGAGAAGAATCTCCCTACCACCTAACCTCGCTTAAATTTTTGGTTAAAAAAATAAAAATGGCGCCTGCCCATTGTCATCCCACCATAATTCAAACATCCAAGACATTTAAATATTATTCTGTACATATATAAAAGCCCCCAAAGAAAGTGGGGGGGGGGGTTGTTGTTGAGGGGGACAGAGCCCAAGCCCAATTTTTCAATGGGTCGAGGCCATGTGGGGGCTTCTGCCTCAGGATCTCTCCACACTTGCAAAGTTCACAGTGGTCCAGGTCTGTCGTAGTTCATTGGCTTCTATGGAAGGCAGGAAGGGGAGAAGGAAACAAGCCCTCAGAGGACGTCAGCTCGCTTATCTCGAACACGGCTCCTTGCTTTCGTTCGGGCTTTGAAGGCAGCAGAATTATACAGGTGCTGGGGCAGCCAGAGGGAGAAGAGACATAGGTCACAACTAGCTCAGAAAACAACACTCAGAGGTCACAAATCATGGTCTAAGTCTACCAGGCCCAAAATAATTTCTGTTGTTGTAGTGACACTGAACCTCTTTACATCTTGCAGGATATCCCCCATTATTAACCTAATTCTGAACCAGAGAAAGAACAGGAAGCCTAGTGATGGTGGTGGGGGCTTACAAACAAATTAAAAACAATCATTAAAAAAAAAGGCATATCAAGACACTCAAAACTAGTTGGCAGCTGAGGACACCAATCAAAGTACTACTAGGTGCCCTAAAGACAAACTCTGCCCTAAAGCCCAAGGGAACAATCAGAATTGCCAAATCTTACAAAAGGGCAAGAGGACTGAATGATTCAAATCTTGGGGTGAAGCGATTCCAAAGGACTAGAAGCTTCTGGAATGTTCAGAAGCAAGGCACAAAGGCAACAGTTCCTTCTCCATTTTACTCCCAATGCCTGGTTTTTAAATATAGCCTGTGCATTGCTTGAAATGAGAAGTCTTTATTTTACACTACCACCTTTCCCTCTGAGGCTTCTTAATTCCCTGATATCAGAGAAAACCACACAGAGCCTGAACAAATTAAAGGAGAAACCTCTAGAAATATCAACAGCATTGATGGCCTACCTTCTCAAAGCGTGAGATCTTACTGGCTTTAACAGTGGCTGCATCCAGGACTAGTGGCGGTCCCAGCTCAAATGTGTCCCGTAACAGCTCATTGTTCTGGGGTGAGAAGTGCAAAGAGAAAGGAAGGCCATTAGGTGATATACTGGGAGAGGCTGCTAACATAAGGAGATCACTTTTGCATCACACTCTGGTGGTCCACTGCTGAAATCTTACGTTTGCTTCATATTTAAACTGAGCAGCAATAATTAGATACCACTGAGTAAAGATTAGTTCCTGATGATTGTATGGATCAATGCTTACCATCTTGATTGGCTTCCCATAATTACTCAAAACTGTCCCAAGCTACTATCTCTCAGCAAAAGCACACACATTCCACATCTGCTTACCTGCAGGTGGTGTCTGACACCAGAACCAAGAGCCTCTTTGAAGGCATTGTATGTTCTTCTCCTTGCCCAGCTGTCCACATACATGCACTCCAGTCCAAACTTGATGGTCTCCTCATGGCACTCCCCATTCTGGAGAAAAAGAAATGTTCTTGGGGATTCCAAAATAAGAGCTTTCATTAACTCCCCCCTCCCAACCTCACTACCGAAGGGTGACCCTCGGACTCTGTTACCTCCTCAAATGCTTGGAAATGCCCTGAGGCTTCTTAGATGCTGAGTGCTGGGACAAACCACTTAAGATTATAGGATTTTTTTAAAAAGCTACACAAGAGCTTACCAAGGCACTGCCAACAGAGGGCTCTGAACAGTCACAAAACAGCTTTATGATAATACCCTATAAACCAGTGTTTCTCAACCTTGACAATTTTAAGGCATGTGGACTTCAACTCCCAGAATTCCACAGCCAGCATTGCTGGCTGTGGAATTCTGGGAGTTGAAGTCCACATGCCTTAAAATTGTCAAGGTTGAGAAACACTGCTATAAACAGTAGAGTACAGCCATCTACTTGGGATAAGTATTATCATAAAAGCTGTTTTGTGATTGTATTTTGCTTCTTTTATTGCAAGGAGCTGTGTGCAAGCACCAACACCTTTCCTCAGCTCTGGATGGGAAGGGAGAAAATCTCTAACAGATGTCCCTCCTTTCCAGGACAAATAGGATTTCAAGGTAGACACTGGAATCTATTTTCTATATTAAAATTCAGCCATGGAACATTGAGGTAACATGAAAAAGGAGGGAATTTCTCCCAACGTGCACAAACAGCATGTTCCTTAAAAGTGAACAGTCACCATCTGGACTACAGCTGGAAGAGACACTGAAGTCATTAGGTCTCCTTCTCACTGCAAATGGAGGCTTTCCTCCTAACAGATGATTCTCTAGCCCAGGGCTTTTCAACCAGTGGTACGGATACCACCTGTGGTACGCTGGCACCTGTGGTACATTGGCACCTAGAGAAGTGGTAGCGGGGGAGGGGAATGAGCTGAACCGGTGGCAGCACTGCACAAGCCTGAGCAAGAGATGGCTGGACCTGCAGGGCTGTCAGGGCTCAGCGGAAGCGCCAGGATCAGTGCCGCTTTCCAGCTGATCGGCGCTTTTTCAGGGCTGTCAGGACTCAGCAGAAGCGCCTGGATCAGCACCGAGCTCCAGCCGGAGCTCAGCGCTGATCCTGGTGCTTCTACTGAGCCCAGAAGAAGCACCAATCAGCTGGAATGTTGCAACATCTCCAGGGTCTTGTGATTTACATTCAGATGCTAGGCAACTAATTCATATTTATGACAGTCACAGTGTCCCAGAGTCATGTGAAGTGACCAAAACCTGCTGCAACCACCCAGCAGATGGGGGGAATAAAAACCAAACATCCCCCCACCCCACCCCTGCTGCCAATCCTTAACAGAAATGCTCACAATAATGAAAACCTTGGACAGGAGGAAGAGCGCCGCTGGGCGGGCAGGCAGGGGTCTTGCTCGGCTGTGGCTTGGGGGGCACTTTTTTCAGTGGCATTGTAACTTCGAACAATCACTAAGTGAACTGTTGTAATTCGAGGACTACCTGTACTTTATCACTTTTTTCCTTTTTTGGTCGTAAGTTTTTGCTAAGCGACTGGTGGTACTCGGATGTTGCCATATCCTAAAAGTGGTACAATGGGAGAAAAGGTCGAAAAGCCCTGGCCTAGCCTCCACTTGAATGCTTCTGACATGTGGGATTATGAGAGCGTTAAGGATCTGAAATAAAAGTGCCCGAGGATCTTTTGAAAAACAAACAGCCGTAAGCCCTGCTTAACGGAAGGGGGCCTCCCGAGCCACGTTTCCCATCCAATCTCCAAAATTCCAGCTAGCACAGCTTTTGCAATGCCCATTAAGGATAGGAAGAAGGACCTCAATATAATGCAGGACATCGCGGAAGATGGAGCGTTGCTTGCGTCGGTCTGTTTTGGCTCGATACTTGTTGCTGTCAGTGGCCAAGGCTTTTAGTTTGGTGCACAGCAGGTCAGTATCCTCATAAAAGAAGTCCTCCTGGGGCCAAAATGAAGACAGATCTTAAACCTAAAGATTAACTCTAGAGGGCACAGTCTAAGCAAAAGGCAGCCCATCTTGCATGGGAAGCAAGGAATAAGTCAATCTCTTTCAAATGTTATTATTTTACTCTTCCCTATAAAAATGAGAAGCCTACAGAGGGTGCTGGGTTGGTTATCGCTTTCCCAAAATACCATCTATATCAACCCTAATTAAAATAGGTATTAATACTATGTGATTAAACATATCCAACCTCTGGGGAGATTATTAATCTTGCACAAAATCTCATATCTCTTGAAGTGAGATAACTGAAATCTCATGACTTTTAGCTTGTTCATAAGATTTCAGCCACGCAGGAGGGGATGGGGCCTTGCTCTAAGATCAGGTAAAAATAAAGAATTACCAGCCTCGGTTCTGGCTCTTAGGATCTTATATGCAAACCAAGTGATTAGGCCCACATTTAGTTACAAAAAGGAAATGGTATCTATTGATTTGACCCGGGCTGTTAATGGGAATAGACTTACAAATATGGAGTGAGGGTTCTTTTTATTCAATAGTGAGCAGTTTAAGCTCCAGCTTTGGCCAGGGATCATTCTGCTTAAGTAAGTTAGAGTTCAATGATATTAATTCCAAAGTTACAGTATGAGTTATCTTCATTCATCATCCAAGCCACTAGAATGAGCCCAAGGGCCACAGTAATTCTGCTAGCCATCCTGGGGGTCATGGTCCAAGGGCCAGATTTCAAGTGTAGGTAGATTAGGCCCTGCTGGGTGCTGGGCCTGCAGATTCATCAGTGGCCAGCTCTTCCTCTACTAACACCAAAGCCTTCCAGCCAAGTTGAGTGCAATGTGACCCCCTTGGTTGGCAGACCCTCTGCTTTGCAGAATCAAAGCACCTCATGAGTAAGTGGTAACCGATCAACTCTTTAAGCAAGCCAAGTGTCTCATTGTCAGCAACTGCTGAGCAGGAAAAACTTTAGTCTGTGCATCGTAATGGGAAGAGGATTTAAGCCGCATAGAAACTTCCTTTTGTTGCTGGAAGCAACTTTGGCATGTAGCCTCATGGTCTGGTTCCATGCTTCCTCATTCCCGTCTCCTCTGTTCTCAACTTTGGCATGTTCCTGACCAAGTCTGTGGCTTTTCTCTCATCATTTTCAAGACATTATATATTTTGGATTACAAGTGGTTTGACCTAGCTTTGCACCTCCTCCTTAGACCCTGGTGAGCCTATTGAGCACACACACGCCTTTTGTTTCCCCTTCCTAATCCCACTCCTATTTTCATGCCCCATCTGCTTCCACTGTGCCTCTTCCTTGTTTCTCTGCCATTGCTACTCTTAACAACACTCTCCTGGTGTGGGCCCAGCAATAAACACCCCCTCAAGCCTCACCCACAAATACACCCTTCAAATGTCCTGCAATCAAGTTCTCCTTGTGTCCCTTCCTTGCCTCCCTCTTGCTACTTCACTCATTCCCTCCATGTGTTTGGCCCCTAGTGATTCCAAAATCTTGCACATGGTTGCATGCACCACACCTGCCTGCCTACTGTTGATCTCCTTGCTGAAGTTAAGACATATAACTGGGAAGTCCAGAATGGGCAACAAGATGTGCTTGAGAAGGTAATGGGCCCCTCCCATACTTGCTCCCTATCCACTAATACTTAATACTTCATTATTCTAAACACAATGGACTTATAAGACATCTTGACTGGAAAATGCTCAATGCAGTATTATATGTCTTTGTGCGTGTGTGCATATAGAGCTGAAAGAGTCAGAAGAGTAATTTCATACCTCTATGTCTCGGGCCAGTTCAAATAGAAGTGCAATTGTTTCACCTGCCACAATCCGCAGGTTGACATTATCACTGGAGAGCATCAGAGGCAGTTTAGGTAAATGTCTGTGGAAGAAGATAGTTAAGGATAACTAACAAAACAATGAAGGGGAGAATCATCATAATCATCCAGCTATTTTGCAGAGAGGTTGCTGCTGTATCTTTTTTTTTGCAACAACCATCCTGTTCTCTGCATCTAAAAGATCTAGCTAAAACTAACTGTGGATTCTCTACAGTGAAGCACTAAATCCTGGTTCCTGTATGTCAATTAGAATGAAGAAGGCTTCCTTACATCTTAGAAGAAATACTGTCTGATAAGATCAATCAACTCACTCATCCAGGATCTTCTTAATCTGGGTGCCTGGACAGATGGTGAGGAGCAGCGACCAAGACTGAAGTGCATTGCAATGCAAGATCTGGACCAGAGGACTGTGGTGGGAGGGTGCCAAGCTGGCATCCTTGCTGCATGAAGTGCCAAAGATACCTTCCAGGCAGACCAGACAGGATACCAGGTCCTGAAAAAGAGAAGAACAACCAGTAGGTTCTCACGCAATAAGCTACACAAGTTCTAGTTACTGTTTTAGGGGTCAGGGTGTGATGACTTCCCGATCCTGACGACTATTGACCTGCAGGCCCTTGACTGTTCTAGATCTAATTCTGCTGTGCTTCAAGCACCGCTCACTTGCTAGAGTTACTCATATAGGTTTAGTCAAAGCTGTCCTATAGGAACCTTTCCCATTTTTGCTTTTGAACTAAAGCACCCTATGGGCTAGGGCAGGGGTAGGCAACCTTGGCTCTTTTATGACACGTGGACTTCAACTCCCAGAATTCCTGAGCCAGCATAGCTGGCTCAGGAATTCTGGGAGCTGAAGTCCACGAGTCATAAAAGAGCCAAGATTGCCTACCCCTGGACTAGGGGAATACTATGAGAAGGAATGGAGGGGTGGGAAATACAGCCTTTACTTCTACGGCTAATTTTCTCATAGCAGCTTCTTTGCCTCAACTAGAAAGGTTAGGTAGAGGAATAGTTTTAACTCAGGCTAACTCCTACTGCTGAACATGTTCAGTACAAGGAAGTTTAGCTGATTGCATTTCAGAAACTGGTAGCACTAAAACTCAGCAGATTGGGAGCTCGCTCTCTGCTTTTCTTTTATTCTAACAATAAGTGAGGGGTCCTTGATGCTCTGTGGGCTTGTTTTCTTGAAGATGTTTCATTACCCTAACCAGGTAACATTATCAGTGCTAGTAAGGAGTGCTCTTTGCCATCAGTTTCTTTGGTAACTGATGATGTTACGTCTGCAAGAAAACAAGCAAGCTCAGAGAGCACCAAGGATCCCCTCATTTCAGCCCTGAGCTACAAATGTTCTCCTTCATTGCTAACAATAAGTACTTCATATTTTTCCTTTGCTAGATTTATTGCACCTCCTGGCAATTGGATATATGCATTTTAAAAATTTAGTTTTACACAACTAGTGTGTGCATGGCAATTGTTAAGCAGCGTTATCGGAAAACAGGAAAGAATAAAAACAAGAAGTTAAAAAAAAGAGGAAACAAAAAAGAACAAGAGAACCAAGTAAAGTCTGCTTCCCTTTATAAGGTGAGCTACAAAAGATAATAGCAGACATAGATATGCGGCTTTCGGTGACATGTCGCAAGACTGACTCATATCCAAGATTAATCATTTTATCCCCCATCAATGAGTATCCTTTGAAAACGTTTTCCAACTGAGATATAATCGAGTTATAGGTAGATTGGGGATGACTGCAGATCTCTGGATTACTTGCCAGAGTTTAGCAAGACGTTGGACTTCAGTGATTCAATGATACAACAGAAGTCTGCCTTTCTTTAGAATAGTCCAACAGCTAATTTATACTTGGCAAAAATTTAGGGACAGGGATTCAACAAGCTCATTTTAAATCCCAACCACTATGCCATTCCAAATAGTCCATGTGGTATAACGGACACATACACTTCCTCAATCTAGCGCCTATCGGATGTGGTGGACCTCAACTTTCATTTTTCCAGACAGCCCTGGGGTTAAAGAGGTGAAAACAGTGGTCTCCTACATCTTGAAACTCCAGGTACACGATGAATAGATAGACAACATGTTCGACCAGAATGGGGAAAAGCTGATTCACATTGCCCTGTGAATTTCATCAGGTAATTGATCTAATCTATCCTAAAGAGTTGTTCTGAGGATAAAAGTACTGTAATATATTAAGTCACTGCAAGCTCCATAAAGGCAGGATTAAAAAAAGGAACCAATAAACGAATATATACAAACCTTCTAATATAGTATAATAGGTCATCCAAATAGGGAGATGGCCAGCATAATAATTTAATAAATAAATTTAAAAAATATAGACCTTCTTCTTAGTGCTCAGACTAAAATTCTTCGTAAAAATGATGCTTACTGCGTGGACAGAATACCATTTCCCATTCTATTCCAGAAGTTTGACAGGAGTTAACAGAAAATGAAATGCATCCTTCTTGAGAACCCCCTTAGAGTTCTGCTGTTAATGAAAAGAGTCAGAACATTCTTTTTTTTCAGAGACACCCTTGGACGAAGAATAACTCCGTCATGTTCATATAATGCACCTGACAAGGAGAGAAATGCAGACAGCCACAAGGGAAAGTCTGCTACTTATAGCTTTGTAGTGCTCTCTGAGCTTAGTTGTTTGCCAGACTAGGTAAGATTGTCAGTGCTACAGCTTTCCAGTTAAAGCAGTCTTCCCCAGCTGCAGCGCAAGAGAGCTATCAGACGAACACTCTGCTAATTCCAGCCAGTGAGCCCAAACCCTGGCATACCTCAATATCCGCAGCAGCAATATAGCAGCACATCCCAAGAGCAGTTGCGCACTGTCAGTGGGGAGACAAAACAAGAGAAGGAAGGAAAAGGTAAAATCATTCAGAGCAAGGATTCTGATGCATCTCCCACCCGGAGTCCCTTTGATGCATCACCCTTTGCTGCAAACCAGAGGAAGAGACAATACTCACACTCTGCCGAGCAACGGGGCTGGCCGAGGAGTCAGTCAGGATGGTGATGAGGAGTGGCTTCAGGCTGCGGAAGATCTCTTCCCCTTCTGGCCCTGAGCCCATCTGAAGGCACAGTAGTGTAAGAACGGTAGCAGCAAGGGCCTGCTCCTCCCCTTTACCTGGCAGGGGGAATAGATACAGAACAATCTGGAGGCTCCACACCAGAAGAGGAAAAAGCAGACAACATCACAGACACTGGGAGCAAAAGGAGACTGGATGTAGTGGGGACACAGGACACACAATGTGGTCTCCTTTCTGCTTAGGCCAGGGGTAGGCAACCTTGGCTCTTTTATGACTCGTGGACTTCAACTCCCAGAATTCCTGAGTCAGCTGTGCTGAGGGGAAAGAGAGAGGTTTCCAAGCTGAGCTATGCTGGCTCAGGAATTCTGGGAGTTGAAGTCCACGAGTCATAAAAGAGCCAAGGTTGCCTACCCCTGTATAGGCCTACAATCAAATCTTTTTTATATTTTATTTTAAGACAATGAGTGACTTGCAGGACATAAAGCAAATGTCAAAAGTTAAACCAAGGCCACAGATACATGCATGTCTGATGTAAATGAATCCAAACATTAATATGGGAAATGTGTTTTATTCCTTGGTCATCAAACACAAGAGATCCTATACACCTCTGTACTAATTCAGCACCGATGGAAGAAAAGCAGTTTTATGATTTTTGTAAGATAGTTTTTGTTTCTAAAGATGCCTCACTCCCCTCTTAGAGATTTCTTCCGCAGTTAAAAGCGTGACTTGCCATTGCTCTGTTATTATTAACTTCTGTTTTCAGTTTGATAACGGCAATTATATCTGTCTGCTTACATGGCTATTGTAAAGCTAAACTGAGCCTTCCCCAAAGGATACCACCTCCCAAGTTCTGGGAGTAAGCAGGGGCACTCAAGAGAATGAATGTGCAAAAGACAGGAGGGTCTTGCTGAACATTTCACTGGTGCACACGTCAGCCTCATCTTCCTCATCTCCCACCCCTCTCAGCTTCAGAAACCAACATCTTTGCAATGATTGGTGAGGTCACATTTGATATGCTAAGCATTTTATTAGTCAAAGTGTCCAGTTACAGTAAGGTACAAGTTAAAACACTGAAGAACTAGCAAAGCCATCAATTAACACTATTTCAAGCCCAAATGATTTTGGTGGGAGAAAGTGAAGCAGATGCTTAATTCTGCCATTAAACAAAAGCATCTGAAGTCTTTTGACTGCAGTGATTCAAGTCCCAAACGCCAAAATCTTGGGAAGCTCACCTTTCTTCAGGCACTTCTCTAAGGAATCCGTGACGGTAAGCCTGCGTTCCAACAGGAAGTCAAAGAGCGTCTTGGAGGAGAATGCTAGCCGCAGGCTCTCTAGGGCAACCTGCCGGGTCTTGGCACTGGAATGGCAAAAAAAGTGGAGTGAAAGGGGGGAAATAGAGAAAGAAAATGAGAGACGGCACAAAACCATGCCTGAAATGTCCTCTCTCTCAATCACCATGAATGCCAATGATGCATCATACTCAAATATAATGAATTATTTAACCCGCAATTTCTCAAAAAGCACCACTGGGAAAAATTTGCCAGCTTAAAAAATTCTGGGTATGCTCAGACACATTTGCCCAACAGCTCGCTGCCAATCAAGCTACAGTCAGAATTCCTTTTATATACACAAGACCAGCAACCGTGAAGATTGCCCATTTTAAGTTTCCCAAGATGAGTTCTGGATTTAGGTGTTGTTTCCCAGCTTGATTTGTTGTACCACAATGAGCAGTCAACAATAGAGAACACCCTAAATTTAAAAACCAGCAAAATCCTCTTTGCTTAAAATCTAAACAAGAATTGGAAAATTTAGGAATAAATTTGTCCTGATGGGCACATTTGCAGATACAAAGTAGATATCAAAAAGATGTAAAAATATATGGATTTTACGAGGATCAAAATGTGTTTGTTAAGATTTTGTTAACCTTGGATGAGAAATTAATTAAGAAAATGTATAATTTTTTGTTAATTTTAGATACGGAAAGTGAACAAGTGAAAGAAACAATGATAAGATGGGCAAAAATTTTTGGTTATGATATAGAATAAGAAAAATGGCAAATGTTATGGGAGAGAAATTATAAATTAACAATGTCAACTTCATACAAAGAAAATTTATATAAAATGTTTTATAGATGGCACTTTCCACCAGCAAGATTAGCAAAAATGTTTAAAAATATGTCAGATAGATGTTGGAAATGTAAACATAATATAGGCACATATTACCATATTTGGTAGACATGTGGGAAGGCAAAGGCCTATTGGAAAAGCATACATATGTGGTTAGAAAAAATATTGGGTGAACAAGTGGATTTTAAACCTGAACTTTTTTTTACTAGGCATTATATCTAAAAAGAATAATGAGCAGAAATTATATTTAATTTTACATATTACCACAGCAGCAAGAATAATTTTTGCACAGTACTGGAAAAATGAAGGATTGCCATCAGAAGAAGAAATAATCACGAAAATATTGGAATGTGCAGAGATGGACAGACTAACTATGAGGCTGAAAGACAAAGAAGATACGGACTATTATAAAATTTTGAATTTATTCTATTCTTGGTTAGAGAAAAGAATGAAGGATTAGGAAGTGAACATGTATTAGCTTAGCAAACACCAGACAACTTATTTGATTGGAAAAATTAACATATGTTGATGGGAAAAAAAATTAATAAAAAAAAGATTGTTACAAAAATCCTCTTTGCTGTTTGTAGCTGTTCCCCCCCCCCCCAATTCCCTATAACCAGCACATGTAGCAGTATGGAATAAAAAGACTTGAGTATGTCTACCTATTTAAGCTTAACACTGACCTATAGAGTTTTCTATAACTTATAGTTGGTTCACGAATTTTGGGAGTTGAAGTCCACGAGTCATAAAAGAGCCAAGGCTTTTATAAATTAGCCCAGGGTAGGTAACCTTGGCTCTTTTATGACTCGTGGACTTCAACTCCCAAAATTCGTGAACCAACTATAAGTTATAGAAAACTCTATAAGTTTTCCATGTCAAAATAGGTCAATGTTTATGAAAAGAACTGAGTAAACTATTGTATAGAAAAAGGGAACAAACACCACATTTACTAGCACTGATGATGTCACCTAATCAGATAATAAAACATCTGCAAGCAAACAACCAAGCTCTGAGATCACCAAGGACCCCATAGTTTAATCCTGAGTTACATATATTTTCTATTGGAACAAGTCTTAATTTCAAACATTTGCCAAAGGCGAAACTACTAAAAAAATCTCTCAAAGCTGGAAATGACAATAGAATTTCCTAAAGGAAAAACAAATGCACAGTATTTAATATCTCCCATGAGTAAGTAAACAGGCTGAAAAATATATTCAATTCTGCATTTAAGAAGTGTTCCCACTATTCTTTCTTCTATGCATCCACCTTATTGCAAAGAGAATTGTTCTTAGCATGCAGCCTGATGTTACTTCTGACTTTCAAGAAACAGAGTTCCACACAGTCAAGACACTTCTTCTCAATTTAGACCCTGCCCCAAACCAGTTTGTGCTGAACAAGGTTAAAATCCATGCCACAGCTCAAATTTCCAAATGTACAAGCAAATCGTGGGCAGAGTTGCCCACTTGTTTCTGATAAAATGTGTGGTTGATGTTGCTCTGTCCAATTTTATTTTCCACCAGTTATGAACTTCAGGCAGACGGTGTAGGAACCTGTGGAAGAAGAACTGATGTGTCAAATTCAGATGTCACCTTATCAATCCACCAGCTGCTCGGTCTGCCTCATTCTCAAAGATGGAACAGAAGGTGGAACCATCATTAAATTGGCTATAGTGGTGCAACAACATCAAATAAAAAAATGAAAAGGCTATTGGAAAATAATACATGTCACTGGTAATGTGCATGTCTACTTACATCAAAGGTTAGCAAGTTCATTTCAAAATACAATAGCTTGGACATTTTGGACAAAGTTTATAAAGTTTTGGCTTCAAAATTAAATACTAGTTTTGGGCACCCAAGAGTACATCTATCTCACCTTTTGTCCATCACATTGTCGATGCATTCTTTTAATTTATCTTCCATTTCCTCTTGCTGTGCTTGCTCATCTACTGCTTCCCCTCCTGAGAAAAGCGGCAGGAGAAGAAAAGAAAAAGATCAAAGCTATATCAGACCAGCTAGACTCAGGACCTGGATTTCCTACACTCCTAGAATAAGGAGGACAAGGGTTAGAAATCAGGTCTGAATGGTACTGGCAGAACTGCAAAAGATTCTTTATCCTAGCACAGTGTTTCCCAAACTTGACAATTTTAAGGCATGTGGACTTCAACTCCCAGAATTCCACAGCCAGCGTTGCTGGCTGTGGAATTCTGGGAGTTGAAGTCCTCATGCCTTAAAATTGTCAAGTTTGGGAAACACTGTCCTAGCAGTTCAACAAGCTTTTTGTTCCACACATTTGTTCAATAAGCTTTTGGCAGTTCTTGAACTACCCATTGTTCTAGCAGTGCTCTAGTTTTAAAAGAATTAGCTCAGATGAAATTAGTAATGGCTGAGGTTGTAATACTAGCTTAAAAATTCTTACAATTTTTTAACCACTCAGCTGAAAGCCATTCAGGCCATCAGCTTGTTGCTAGTGTAAGGCATTTTTAGAGCCCTGATTTTTAATTCCAACATTATCTTTATCACTGTCACATACTAGGTTTTCTTTTTATCATCTTTCTGAATTATTCTGTTTTGTGATAATATTTTAGTAATTATTTACTATTTAGCAATTGTTTATTTTAGTAATGTGTTTTTTTCAAAAGTGGTAGCTTTTAATAAAACTCACTGTCTAGAGCAGGGATGTCAAAACTGCCGGCCCACAGGCCGGATGTGTCACGTGGAACCTGCACCCACCCCATTGCCGGCAATGGCAAAACAGTCCCGATACGTCGCGCGACGTCACGTGATGTCGCGAGTTTGACATGTCTGGACTAGAGAACCCCAAAACATAGTAACAAAATAAGCAGAAGCTGCCAATAGCAAAAATAGATTGTGTTGGGATTGTAGATTAAATAGATATTTATATAATCAAAGTTTTTTCATTACGGAACTTTATTGAGAATTCAGCTTTTGCAAGCCAATACTGTATATCTCTATATACCAGATTAGAAAAGTCTGCTCTATGGTTTTTTTAGTATACAGAACAATCGGGTTTTTGAAAACCACTTTTTGCCCCCACTCACCAGTCACTTCCTCAGCTATACTGGCACTTTCACTGGCACTGCTGTAATGACTGAGCACTTCACTAGCTGCTTCATCATCACTTGCTGGAGACTCCATCTTGGGGTTGCTACGAGCACCTAAAGGAAAACATAAAGAAGATCACAATTGCTTCCTGATCACCTACATTGGATTTAGAATTTGTCTAGCCAATGTTGTATCTGAAGAGTGTGAAGTGCATTATCTGTACTCCAGGGGAAAGACAATTTGCCAAGAAATAATTTGTCATGATGTACATATAATCACAATGAGTTGGTCACTATGCCACCACAAATATTACTATCCTTGATCAGAAATCTAAAAAAAGAGAGTAGTAATATTCTTTTCACTATTTCATAGGAGAACTCACTAACCTGATAAAAGATAACTAAAAGATTACTATTGCAACATATATTTGTACCTGAAAAATCCTTTGGAGTTTTTGGGATGGAATAACTCAATTCAGAAATAACGCAGCTATTTAGATACACACATTCTTAATAAAGCAGCGTTCCTCAAGGTGCCCATCATATTGAAAGGGAGACTGATGAAGGTTGAAGTATACAGCCTTTCAGGTCTATCAGGCTTTATGTTTCCTTTCTACTCTTACCACTCTTATCTACAATGCATCTCTTCTTTTTGTCAATAACATTAATAGTTACATTATGCTTCAGAACTAAATCAAGAAATAGCAATTACTGTACCTTAGAATACACAAAAATACAACATAGACAAATTATCAATCTAGACAACTCCAAGCCTCGGGACAATAAAAACAGCTACTCGCTTCACGCACACACACAAGAATAAACCATAAAACCTACTGTCAATGATATTACAAGCAAAATTAAAAGTCAGAATATAGGCTACCAGGGCTAGTTCTGAAACCACAAGTACTTAAGATCTAGATCAGGATGCAGAATCTATGCTTTGAACTTTTTAAAAGTACATTTACCCAAATAATGTATCTCTTTCAATAATATCCCATAATATCTCCTTCCAAGCTATAATTGACCTTATAAAATATTTGTCCCAAAGGTTAACATAAGGCAGAACATTTAACGATCAATCAATCTACAGTCATTCTGGTGTAAAAGACTATAATCAGAAAAGGTTAAAAAAGGCAATGGTGGCAAAGAGAATTGTTTTTTTTCTACTCACCCAAAGTCAGAAGAAAAGCCATCCCATCTCTTTACATTCTCAGAATGTAAAGTGGACAGCAAGAAGCCTGTTAGTGGCCTTTGAATAAAGTTAGCCCTATCAGCTTTGGCAGACTCTACTGATAAATTCTGAAGGCCTGGACTAAGAGATAATTAGCATTAAGTGCAAAAATAAGGAAGAAACAGGGAGAAACCCAATCACCTCTCTCTGACTTTAAGGGACCAGGCTTTGCTCAATACCTATAAAAGCCCTCATGAGGTAAATTTATGATGACAAATACCGTAATTTTGTTCAGAATCTGAGCTATGTGGTAAATATTTTCTAAGTGGACTACCATGAATAACTGCTAAAAACAATAACAGCACCTGCTCATAGCATACTTATTACAGGTTATTAAGAAGAAGCATACGCAGGGCACTTGAACCAGGTGCAGCATCAGGAATGTGTGACTTAGCTTCAAGCCAGGGGCAGTTAATCTCGTGGTGCATTATTTCATTTTTAAAAAATGGCAAAGGTATTTTAATATTAGTTGTCTGTCTTTATCACCGCTATAGCATCTACGTTCCAAGAAATGTGCTCTGATGCATCTCCAGTCTGCTTGGCTACTGTATTTGAAAGAGTACTTCACCTTAGATAGCCTCATGGAGAAGTAAGGCTGGAGGCAGTCAACTCTCGTGCCTAGACCGGGATAAATCAAGCTACACAAGGCCCATCACACTGGTGGTGATTAGCCTGCAATAATTAAGATATTATCACTCTATATCATAACAACAAAGGATATGAACTGTGAAGGACAAGCATACTTAGGTTCAACATTCTGCTTCATAAGCAAGCACAGAAAGGAAGACCAATGATCAAATGTTCCCAAAACTGAGAATATTGCTACATGTGTAACAATAGCTTTTGATTAAAATATTTAAATGTGGAGTTTCTTTTTTATATTTTTGGGGGACAGAGGCTTTTCTACTAAACAGAAAAGATGAACACAGCTTACAAACAAGTTCAGGATAAAACAACACAAATTCCATTTTTCAGTGTGATCAAGTAGCAGAAAAGCCCCAAAAGCATTCAAAAGACTAGAGGACTGGGAACAGGAAATGTAATTTAACTCCTATCCCTAGCAACAGTGTAGCTGGGACACGAAATGACTCCTCTCCATACATAGAAGTCAGCATGAAGGGAGTACTACTAAAGGGTTACTGGTCTCTAGCTTTCCAGCTGACACACCAGAAAGCTGACCAGTGGCAAAAGCCAGATGTGACTGAACACATAGGTGGGCCCCAAAGCAAACAGGGCTGTTTGGTGCCACCTTGGGACAAAGGAAAGCTGGAGTCATCATGCTATAGGGGGGGGGGGGCTGTCAGTCACCAAGAGGTGACCTGGCATTTCTAACTCAGACAAAGAGCAAGAATGGAGGCACATATGCAATTGAAGCTGTATTTAATGGAGTACTTGCAAATAGTCTGCCAACACATGCCAAAAGAAACCAGCATCCTAAATTTGAAGTCGGTGGAAAGTCAGGTTTGGTCCCACTGGGGGTGGGGATCAGTGGCTGTCTAACTCTAATGCATATTAGACTGGCCCTCACTGAAACCTACATCAGTATTTCACTTCAAGGTGGATCCCCGATAGACGGTGGTTTTAGCATGTATTTGGTTCTCCCCCAGTGTCTTCATGAAGACCTTTTAGGTAGGGAATTGAAAAAATTTGTCTACTGATTGAGAATCATTTCATTGTCATTACAGCATCTTCACTGCTGTAGTGGTCTCTGCTAAGATTCTCAAGGCTGAAATCAGGGGAGATAAAGATTAATACACAGCTGCAAAAATGCCTATTATATATATATATGGGAGGACACAGAGCTTAGAGAGGGAAGTTGAAAATAATACACCCTGCAAAAAAAGTCACAACAGATGGAGAGTGGGAGAACATTCAGAACAGAGTTTTTAAGGCAATGCTAGTGTAAAAGACTGGCAATTCAGAAAAGAATGTGCACACATTGTTTTAAAAGTAGCAATTGCAGAAAATAAAATGAACTATGAAGAAAATTCAATAGACTATACAGGTAGTCCTCAACTTATGACCACAATTGAGCTCAAAATATCCATGGTTAAGTGAGACATTTGTTAAGTGAATTTTGCCCCATTTTATGATCCTTTCTTGCCGTAATTGTTAAGTGAATCACTGCAGTCAATAAGTTAGCAACCTGGTTGTTAAATGAATCTGGCTTCCCCATTGATTTTGCTTGTGAGAGGTCACAAAAAGGGAGCACATGACCTTAGGGCAGTGTTTCTCAACCTTGACAATTTTAAGGCATGTGGACTTCAACTCCCAGAATTCCACAGCCAGCAATGGTCATAAATACAAACTAGTTGCCAAGCAACTGAATTTTGATCACATGACCACAGGGATGTTGCAAAGGGTTGTAACTTTGAAAAATTGTCATAAGTCACATTTTTCAGTGCTGTTGTAACTTTGAACGGTCACTAAACAAACTGTTGTAAGTTGAGGACTACCTGTAATGTACAATGATCTGGCTAAAATCCTAAAAGACCAACTTAAAAATGCTAGCCACCCATTCCAAGGAGGATATTCCAATTAGGATTCCACCAGAGAAGAAGTCCCCATGCACCTGATTCCATCAAGTGTGCAAACCAAGGGTGGTATCAGGTAATTTCAAGGAACTGACAGGTTTGAAGGGGAGCGGCACCCTTGGCACAATCATTGATAATGTTGAATTGTGCCTGGAAATATACGGGAAACCAATTAATCAAATGTGCTTCGTTTTAGACTTACAGTCTATCTGTTGTATATCAAACCAAGTCCTCAAAAGCAGCCATATACCCAATGAAAATTAGGAGCTATTATTAGTTGATACTAGAGCATAGAGAACTGTGATTATTATGGTCTCCAGTGTTTTTTAGGAGTTTTTTAAATAATAAACCAGCTGGTTGAAAACTCAGTTTGTCAAAAGAAGTTCTACCAATAAAGGAGAATTATTTGTAGCTCAGGGTTGAAATGAGGGGTCCTTGGTGCTCTCTGACCTTGGTTGGTTTTTTTTTTTTTTGCAGATCTTTCTTTGCCCAAACATCATCAGTGCTAGTAAGGAGTGGGGTTTTCTCTCAGTTTATATTCTAGTCTTGGTTTGCCCTGTCAGTGTTGGTGGGATGGTCTTGGAGGTTCTTTGGTTGGGCTATCAACTATTAGCTTGCTGGCAGTTCCTTTTTTGGGGTATTGTTTACTTGATTATTGGTCGTTAATCTTGGAGTTAATCTATGCTCATCTGGGTGTTGATTGCTGGTGGGGAGCTGGTGTGTCTATTGATGGTTAATTTGTCAGAGTGCCAGGCTTCTAGAAATTCCCTAGCATTTTTGGATTTGGCTTGGTCTAGGATGGTCCCAGTTTCCAAATTGAAAATAGGCCTAAGTCTGTCCATTTGTTGTGAAATCATCATACCTTCTGACTGCTAGTTGGTGGGCAGTCATTACACTGAATGTTGTAGTAGATGATTCCTGTTTTTATTCCTGGGGCTGCTGGGTCCAAAGACTGCATGTCTTCTTCACTTCTTCTAACTGCAGAACGCATCCATGAACACCCCTCAGCAAAGTTTTGCCAAGAGAGCATTGCAGGTTTTATGGAGGACATTACAAAATAACAATAATAATAATAACAACAATAATAATAACAATAATAATAATACTAATAAAGTTGGAAGGGACCTTGGAGATCATCTAGTCCAACCCCCTGCTCAGGCAGGAAACCTTATACCATTTCAGACAAATGGCTGTCCAGTCTCTTCTTAAAAACTTCCAGTGTTGGAGCATTCACCGCTTCTGGAGGCAGGTTGTTCCACTGGTTAATTGTTCTAACTGTCAGGAAGTTTGTCCTTAGTTCTAGTTTGCTTCTTTCCTTGATTAGTTTCCATCCGTTGCTTCTTGTCCTGCCTTCAGGTGCCTTGGAAAATAGCTTGACTCCCTCTTCTTTATGGCAGCCCTTGAGATATTGGAATACTCCTATCATGCCGCCCCCCCGTCCTTCTCTTCATTAAACTAGACATACCCAATTCCAGCAGCCTTTCCTTATATGCTTTAGCCTCCAGTCCCCTAATCATCTTTGTTGCTCTTCTCTGTACTCTTTCTAGAGTCTCAGCATCTTTTTTACATCGTGGTGACCAAAACTGGATGCAGTATTCCAAGTGTGGCCTTATCAAGGCATTGTAAAGTGGTATTAATACTTCACGTGATCTTGATTCTACCCCTCTGTTAATGCAGCCTAGCACTGTGTTGGCCTTTCTGGCAGCTGCAGAGGGAGGAGACTGATTAGCCCAAGGATCAGCAACTTTGGCTCTTTTATGACTCCTAGGCTTCAACTCCCAGAATTCCTGAGCCAGCCACGAGTCATAAAAGAGCCAAGGTTGCCTATCCCTGGACTAGCCAGTATTCAGCTGTCCAGCTGGAGAGTTCCATGACATATAGAGGAGGAGCTCAGTTCTTCTCCCAGGGAAAATCATGCAAAGGGTTAGGGGCACCAGCAGCTGGGTGGCCTTGGAACCAGCTCCATTCATGTAGTTTAGCTGACTACGTCATGTTTACTTTCATGCATTCCAGGAGGATTTTGTGACATTTCTATAGTAGATCAGCATGCCACATTTCTTTTCTTTTTCAATTAGCACAATGAAAAGACACACACATGACAAGTGTCATTGCTTTCATTTCCTCAGAAAACCTGCAGTGTGTGGAGAATTTCACTTTTCTACAATGGGAGACTTCTTAGATAAGAATCTGGCCTTCTGCAAGGTAACCTGGCCTGCTTAATTACAACACATGTTAGATTTGAATGTTTTTCACAATTCCGTAATTCAGTATAAGATCCTTGTTCTGTTTGCATAGACTAACCCATGGTCAGCTGAATCATAGTTTACCAAATTAATCATACTAAAAAATAAGCCAATCACCGTGGCTGCATTTATAAAAAAAAACAATTCAGCAGCATCTAGTCATATCTAGGTATACTGTAGATGTTGGATGAATCCAGCTAATGGACTAAATTAAAGCAAGTAATATTACTTTATGTACAGTAAACAAGGAAAGCAAGGATGAATGAGATGTAGTCAATTAGGTTACATCTAAGTGTTGAATAATAGGAAGGCTACCATCCCATCTTCTATAATGGTACAGGTAGACCTCAACTTACAACCATTTGTTTAGTGACCATTTGAAGTTATATCAGCACTTTTTCCGAAAGTGACAACCCTTGCAGCATGCCCACAGTCACATAATCAAAATTCTGAGCTTGGCAACTGGCATGTACGAGGGCAATTCGGAAATAAACCTCCATTTAGTTATCAATGACAGACACTCGCAGATAAAGAACTTTTATTATACACATTAGAAAACTACAACCAACACCATACCAAAAGTCAGCATGCCCCGACGCTTATTATGGATGGCTTGTCTGAGTTTTCGTAGCGTTTCATAGTAGACTTCTGAACTGATGGTTGAACCATGCTCCATGAACTTCACTAGCAGTACTCCTTTGGCATTTTCACATTTGGCAGGATTTTCTATGGCACCACTTCCAGTGTGTTGGTTCACAATAATGCTTGCCCGCACACCGCTAGACGCACCCAAGAAGCAGTTCCATTGAGATGTTTTTGATCACATACCCCCATAGCCCAGATTTGGCACCGAGTGACTACTACTAAGGAATTTCAAACCTTGTAAGACATTATGACAAGTGCCTCAATTTGAATGGCAATTACGTCAAAAAGTAATGTAATGTTGTAGTTTTCTAATGTGTAAAATAAAAGTTCTGTATCTGCGAGTGTCTGTCATTGATAACCAAACAGAGGTTTATTTCTAAATTGCCCTCGTATTTATGATGGTTGCAGTGTTCTGAGGTCATGTGATCACCTTTTACAACTATCTGACAAGCAAAGTCCATAGAGAAGTCAGATTCACTTAACAAACTGTGTAATTTTAAAATTGCAGTGATTCACTTAACAATTGTGACGTAAAATGGGGCAAAAGTCACTTATAACTGTCTTGCTTAGCAAGAGAAATTTTGGGCTCAATTGTGGTTATAAGTCAAAGAATTATGGTTATGAATCAAAGTCCATTTGATTCAAAGGGCTTTCATTTTAGAATAAACCATGGTTTGTTTTAACCATATTTTCTAGAACAAGCCATGGTTGTGTTGAAATGTCACACTAAATCAAAACCAAAGAGTATTATGGTTTCATGCAATATGTGAAGCCAACTAGTCACTCATTTTTCACCCCACGGTGAAAGTTTCATCACTCATATTGTCACTCTGGGTTTCTATGCACAAAAACTGCTTGTACTTGTACAAGTTGTTCAATTTTGAACACAGCAATGCACAGAAACTACTTGAAATAATGTAACGGTCATTTGGTCACATAAACATTTGATGACCATAGCAGAAACAATACAGAGCTGGCAAATATTGCTTTCTCCGAGACATCTAGGCCACAGAGAATTAAGTGTTAAACATTTAACTATGAAGTCAGCATGTCTCAATGTAATCCTCTTTATACAACAAGAATACAAACATTACTTCTTGACAACTATGGATACAGCTACTTTCTCACTTACAAAAATCAAAGTACAAAATAGAGTGGTAAATCAGTGAGATGAAAAGTGAACCCTGAAAATTATTTGTTCCCAGCAACCCACAGCAGAGATTATAGAGATAATATCAGCAGTTAGAACTAAGCCTGTAACTACAAATTCCAGCAGTGTGTTTCTGGTAGAAAGGCAAAGTTAGATGGGCACATGAACAGCACAAGAGCTTGTTCATAGGCAACTATGCAATGGCAACAGATCCCGTTTCTCTTATTCTATCAAGCCTGCTTTATTTCACACAGCTTAGAACACCAATAGACTTTATGCCACCTGTCACATTATCCAGCTAGTTTGTGTCAGAGCATAATGGCAGAGAGTCCACCCTTCTTTTCTTGTTTCCAAATCTTAGAGGCATTCTCACTCAGCACACCATATGTGAATGTGGCCTGCATAGCCCGCCGCATAACACACCTTTTTAATGCATACAAACCAATGTGTATTCTAGAAAGTAGAAATTCAATTTATCTTCCCAAACAAGGATCTCTCTCTATGTGGTCTTATATTCCGGAAACCATTGTCTCCCCTAAGAAGCAGGCAAAGATTAGATCAAAGGGTATGGGGCGGAGGGGGGGGGGAGGGGAGGGATATTCAATCAGGATCGAGAACTTGAAAACCAGAAAGTGAGCTTTTCTTCTTTCATTCAAAAGACATTTGCTCGAATTTGGGGATTAACAATATTTCAGGTGAATTTACCGGCCAAGCGATGGACATACCATTTAAATATTTTTTTTTCCAAATTTACCACCACTAGACTTTCCACCCACGCTTCTCCACCCTGGGCGCCTGTAAGAGTCAAGGGAGCCGAGAAGAAGATCCGCTTTCCGGCCGCGCCGGTCCCTCTTGACACGCGGCATTCCAGCCTGGCTTGCCGCCGTGGCAGCTGCTATAGGTCCTCCAAGGCCACACCGGAGCTGAGCCGGCGGGTAGAGCGATTAAGGCTCGCCCTCCTCCTCCTCCGAGAGAGAACGAGAGCTCCCGCCGGGCTTTCCACCCCAAGGAGGCGAGGATGCAGGCGATCGGTCGCCCAAAGCCGCTCACTCTCGCCCGCGCTTACCTCGCCCGCCTCGGCGGGATCCTTCTCCCCGGCGTGATCGGGGCATGGCTAAATCGAGCGGTTATCAGGAGACGGTTTCTGACCGAGCGGCGCCTCTACGTTGTGGGTCGACGGGTACAGTCGCTGCCTCACAGGGGAACCACGCCGTTCGCTCCACCACCATCTTCCTTTCCTTGATTGATCACTCGCTCTCTTCCCCCGCCAAGCGAGTGCTGCTGTCGCTGGCGCCGCCGGTCCCTCTGGGAGCTGGAGTCCTGGCGAGCCAGGCTTGCCCAGCTAAGGTGCTTTGTGACAGCGGAGGAGTGAACTACGAGCCCCATGATGCTTCGCGCGCCTCCCTTTCAGGAACCTGCTGGGAAATAGAGTTTCCGGGATTAAGGCACGCTGGTAACATTGTGCGGGAGGGAAAAAACTACGACTCCCGAAAGGAAGGTTCGTTTGACCAAAAGGGAATCCGCGGACTTCGGGTACCGCGTGCTAACAATTCCCGCGAGTTTATAGAGGTTATCTCTCGCGCCCTCTGCTGAAGAAATGGGAAATTCCAGAGAGGTAATCTGCCTTCCCCAGCTGGAGAGCGGGGTAAAGGCCTTAAAGAAATATTATTAAAAATTACTGAAATATATTTGGCCGGGTGTGAAAAAAAAATCAAACAATATTCTATGTCGTTATTTTGAATAAGTCGAACGCAAATCAAGACAGCATTTTAATGCCGTTCGGATCATTTAGACTTGTGGGACGAAATCATCACGCAGCCACGCTCTGCTTGAGTTTTACGCAGGAAAACGACTCTCCGGGAGGACTGCAAATGATCTGGGCGCTAAGAGATGGGGGTCGTCCTCTCACTTTTTGTCCTTGGCTTACAATTTTTACGAATAGCACTTCATTCCTACGCATGACTATTCTCTTTTCCTTTGGGCGGGGCATCGCTTCAGGATCAGTCCATTAAAAATGATTCACCTGCAGTCGGAATGGTACAGTCCATTGCTTTCACGCCTAAATTCAACGTGGCTTATACTTTCCCTTACGAGATGGAGTCTCATCTTTCATCTTATTTCAATTTAAACTTGAAGAAACTTTTATGTACTCAATGGAAGTTTGACTTTTTCAACGAAATAGTTCTTCTAAGGTTTTTCCCCCTCCCCCCCCCTTTATCACAATTACAACCTTTGCCTAAATTAGGTTACCAGTGTGGGAAGAATCCAGAGAAAGAAATACTTTGGGAAATATTAAAAAGGCAGAATATATTTCCCCAAAGGATTTTAAAGGCAGAACCACCCCCCAAGTCTCTCTGCTCCAAACAGAAATGCAGATGTGATAATCTTGTCAGAAAGATTGGAGTCAAGAAGCTGGGGTTAGAAAGAAAGATCCCTAGAATCAACAATCCCTCATATCAAAAATCCAACAGTCATCAGCCACAGCCCCAGGGAAGCAGGATATGACCTTTGGGGCATAATAGGTTTAACCCACCATTATCAATACCAGAAAGGTACACTCAGACTCAGGTCAAAGTAGATGCCACAGGAACAATTCCAAACAAAAGCTCAAGAAGGTATAAAAACCAACCACTCCCTAATACATATGATCAGCTTTCCCAGAGTCATCTTTCTGTCTGGCTCTCCTCTTCAATAAACTACAACCTTCTTTCTAAAGCAGTCACCATGTTGTTTATTCCCAGCTTGAACTGGACCCTAATGAAGATTTTTCCTTCAACACCAGCCTTGTCTCCAAGCTTGGTCCATTCCCCACAAAATCACTGTGCAGTCTGTTTCCTTTATTCCCCAACTGGATAGGCCTACTGCCCCAGGCCTTTTGTTTAATGTCTCCCATGAGATGGAATTTCCCATATTTTCTATCTGACCAGGGTCACCCCTGTCCGTTTGGGGTGCACCCTAGGAGACCTAATGGGGGTAAGCAGCCCTCTATCTTTATTTCCTCAATCCGCCAGCAGTTTTCAGACTAACAATGTCTGGGAAGACACTATTTTTTGCTAAAGACCTCTACTTTCTAAAGAAAACAATAACTGTTCAGGGATCAGGCTAGTAACTGCCCAGATATGAGTTTCTTTCTTCTGTGTTTCTTTCACATGTTGTGCCACCACACCTTACAGAAGTCCCTACACCCTGGTCAAACCCCTCACTTTACAGATTCATTCACAGCTGATTGGGGCTCACAAGAGACGGGGGGTGGTGGTGGTGGCTAGGAATAGCATAAGGGAAGCATGGAGAAAGGCATGGAAAACACACACACACACACACACACACACACATACACACACACATTCCCTGGATACAAAATCCAGAAATTTAGAGGTAGTAGTTACCTCCTTTCCAAGTAATTGTTGGGCTCAAAACCCAAAACTCCCTTTACTGCCTCAGCCTGGATAGCTGAAGTCCAGGGAGATCTACCCCCAGACAAAATGGTCTGATGCTGGCAAGGGAAGTTTACCCAAGTCTTGAACTCCCATCTGAGGTGCCAGATTGTTAAAAGAATGTTCCTGGGTCCCTTTCTCTGAACCAAGAAAACACAGGCAAATAAGACATGAGACATGCTGCTGTGGAAAGGAGGTGATCTGTTTATTTCCCAATAACAAAGGGATTTGTTCTTGGGGGCAGCTGCAGAGAAAATGGAATACAGATACTTTGTTTTATAGGGGGACTGGTCCTCAGTGTGAGTTTGGGGAGCATAGGTGCGTGTACATGCTGGTTCCAGTGTGTGACTCTGTCAAAAGGGTCAATCTTAATGGTTCTTTCTGGTGCTGTTGACTTGGCTTTGTTGTGTAGATGGTGTCTGGGCAACCTATTTGTGGGTTTGGGGAAGTGTTGGCTCAGTTATTTGGTTCTGTTAATAGCTCAGTGGAGGTGCAGTTTAGCACTCTATTGTTACAATGTATCTCCCATAGTTTCCAGTCTCAGTGCATCATGGATTTGTGTTAAAGTTTAAGGAATAGCTGAGACTGTCAGAGAAATAAAGTTAATTTAGAATAAAGGATTTCTTATGATTATTACTGATTATTAAAATAAAATACTTTCCACACAATGTTGCATCAGAGTTACTATATTGAGCCTGCCAGAATTCAGACCATATTGATTGGCAGCAAAAAGATACAGAATACTCCAGTCTTTGCTGCCATCTAGTAGTTGTCCCACTTTTTTGTAACCCTAATTTGAGAGGCCTAGCCAAGCTGGCTGTCTTACTTAATGTTATTTTTAAAATATTATTTTTTTTACTAAAATAATAAAATAACCTAGTGTGCTGCAAAGCAAAGATCCAGCCTCAAGCAAATCTGCCTCTCACAATTTTCTATATAAACTCCATATAAACCACAGAGATGCAGTCCTCATTTAGTGACTGAGTCAGATAGCAACTGTTCACAGGACACTGATGAAAAGGTAATTCTATGACTAGTCTATGTTTGCAGGTCTGCAAAGCAAAGGAAAGCTGATGTAAAATTGTGATGCTTTACTTAGTGACTGCTTTAGTTAAGAGCCCGGTTGCCAGTCCTAATTGTGGTTGCTAAACAAGAAGCACCTTGTTTAATAAAATGGTGGATGGTTGCAGGCCAGTTATGAGAGGGAAACACCAAGTATCTCATTAGAGAGTATTAGTGAATTAAATGCATATAATCATTAAGGTCACTGAGGCTGGAAGGGTGTCTGGCAATGAAAGGACCAAATAAAGCAGTGTTTATTTCTTTGCTGGCATCTAGTGGTTGATGAACTGTGAGCTAAGAAAGATCATGATGTGAGTAGTGCTCAATCATTACTTTATTCTCTGTTTTACTTAAATTAATCTATCCAAGAATTGGCATACTGTAATAACTGTTTGACATAATTAACATTTGTGTTTAAGCTTTCGTGTAGAAGTACATTAGTGAATTGATTAGGTGCATGCTATGCTAATCTAGCTTTGTAAATTGAATGTCAGTCCAGCCTCTTTTAACCTGTTTCAGTAAAATGAAAACATTTTTGTCTCATGAACAATTGTTATATATATATATGTATAGGGTACTTAAATGAAGGAAGCCTGCCACTTCATAGCTCACTGGACCAACTTCTAAACAAAAATAACAAAAAGCTGCTCACATTCCATTGATGTGGTTGTTGTTGTTCTTCATAATAATAATAATACTATTGTTGTTATTATTATTATTAAAAGGGCAATGGAGGCAGTGATCAGAGGGAAGAGAATGTTGCTGCACCACAAACATTATTAACCAGTTGGAGTGGGATATTTGCCTACCATAACATGAAGCACAGCAGGAGAACCAGACAGCACTACTTGACTTGGCACTAGTTGGAAATACTATATTTGATACGTAATGGGATATATGTTGCTTTCTTATTTATATCCACAAGGAGTAATCAAGATCAGCAAGCTGGTGAATGGAGGATTGTGAACTAAGCGTGTGATGTTTACATATGTTGGAATGGGGTGGGGGTTTACATCACAATGCTCTGTCTGACATCTTTTTGATTTTGACACACACTGCAATTGCCACTGCTTCTGCCTCTGAGAAATAGTCAGTGGTCAATACTTGATCTGGGAAAAACTGGTCATTAAGATTCCAGGAAATAATGAAGCTGGATGATGCACCTCACAAATGTTAATTATATATCCTGTTAACTTTGTAGCTATGAGAAGTATTCATTTAAGTTCAATTAAAAAAATACAGAACAAAAGAACAACCACTTTGTGGTTGACCCCAATGTATTCTCTTACAATCCTGTGTACAACTCTACTGCCTCTTACAAAATCTGGACTGGATATTTATAGATCCTGTCAAAATACAAACACTTCAAAAACTTGAACTGGATTTTAAAACCAATCTAATGTCTTAATTAATACAGAATTCCAATATTTGGTGTTTGAACAGAGGCAATAAATAAAACAGTGATTTCTCTTTCTAGGTTTATTATGATTAGTGACAAACCACAGTCCTAGATCGTCTAGAAAAAGGGTCAGGAACGCAGGAACTTGGTGCACGTTAGCAATTTTTTATTTACTAACTGACAAAGTCAGCACTGGGGATAACTTCTCCCCAGAGCCCTTTATACTGTGTCCACGCCCACATCCCCACCCTCCACCCACAAACCACCATCCGGTCAATTATTCTTATAACCCCACCCCCGTGCCCTAACCCCCCTCCCCATGCATTTCCACCCCCTATGGTCCAGCGTCCGCCCGCCTGCTGTTGCTGCCGCATGTTTGCTGTTTTCAGTTGCAACGGTAAGTTTATGTGCTCAGCTGTTGGC